GGAGATGTTGTCTCCATGACCACCCGAGCCCCAGAAGCCGTAGGCCATTTTCGCGGATGAGCCAATCAGTGCACAGGTTCGAACTAGCCAATGGCCGGCAGGTGAGACTCGGACTCGAACTGTGACTAGGGCTCGAACTCTGTCACACGAAGCGTCGTCTGCTGTCCTGTCGCGTCGGTACCGCCCGGCCTGATTGGTCACTTCGAGCGAGTGCGACCGGCGGTCGGTTTGAAGCCGTCGGGGCGACAGCAACCGCAAGGTTGAACAAAGACCATGGCAACGATTAGCGCCACAAGGTGGGGCTGTCTTGTGCTCTTTTTCCCTCGGCGTGGTCGCCGAGGCGAGACAGCGCGTCGGAAATTGCTGCCTTGCAGAGTCGACCCGATTTTCAGTCAGACCCGTGACTCCACCTCGCGTTGTCGGGCGACTCACTGGCGGGCAATCTGTCACGTACGACCGGCCCATATTGTCCCGTCGGCCTGACTACCGACGAGTGGAAACTGTCCGATGTACCAGGAAAAAGGAGACACCAAGTGTCTGTCGCGAAAGCCGTACCGGGTACGTGAGTGCACTGGCCTCGATGCACACATTCGGCCAGTTGGCATTGGCAACAGAAGGAAAAGAGCACCCGTTACGATTGGTCCTTTTCAGACTTATCGGGTCTGCCGGAGCAAGAGAAGGAGGCGTCAACAACCACGAAGCAGTGACGCCGTTCGCAGTCCGTCCGTTCGAGCCGCGAGGGGATTCCGGGAGGTACAAGAAGACCGAAGTGTGAAACGGAAGAGACCGAATGAGGGTTGAAAGAGTCGCTGAAGAGGTGGAAAAAGCCTCCAATTGCCATCAAGCTGCTGACCCCCAAGAAGAGTGAAGCGAGTCAAAGAGACCTGAATGGATGTTAAGACCTTCTGAGTGTAGATGAGAAGTGAAATAGATCCGGACAGTCTTCTTGACCTGACGGTAACTTGAAAATGTTGCCAGGACCAGTTACAGCTCTCGTGATGCCCATCATTCGATGGAAAAAAACTCGATTAAAACATAAGCGAATACAAACAGACACATACAAACGCAGAGACAGACACACTCACATGCACCAAATCACTTTATACTTGATCAAAGAGGTCAGATGTAGAGTTTATATACCACTTTTTAGGGATTTGCCGGTGGGTTTTCTTGACTCGTTGGCTTGAATTTGGTTGTGACGAAAGCTTAGCACCTTTTTACCGAAATCGAAGCAGATTGCCTCGGAAACAACGTCGGCAAGAATGTTCTAGTAGAGGCGGATCGACAGCTGGTCTTCTGGTGGAACCGAGCTTCGAATCTCTTCGCCGCACACTTTCATTTAAAATGGAAGTAGCTCAACAATTATGAATCTTGTGGCGACTAAAAGAGACCTTAAGACTATCTGAGGGCCATAAAACACTCGTTTTTAGTTGAGTGTAGATGAGAAGTGAAATAGATCCGGACAGTCTTCTTGACCTGACGGTAACTTGAAAATGTTGCCAGGACCAGTTCCAGCTCTCATGATGCCCATCATGCGATGAAAAAAAACTCGATTAAAACATAAGCGAACACAAACAGACCCATACAAACACAGAGACAGACACACTCACATGCACCAAATCACTTTATACTTGATCAAAGAGGTCAGATGTAGAGTTTAT